TTAAAGTGAAAATTTTTCTCTTGTTAAGGAATCTTAATCCTGTACAATTATGACGAATGCTTTACATTCATTTTCGACAAAATTCTTCAATTAAAAATTATTAAATAGAAAGATTTACTTCGTTTTAGAACTTCAATAGTTTTAATTATTAAATCTTTCAATTCTACATTCTAATCAACATTTATTAAAAATTTAAATGAATTTCAAGGGTATTTTAGAGCGCACTTAGAATGTAATGCTAATTTCAGCTTCGTGCTTAATTGATTCATTTCTTTATTTAATTGCGTCTTTAATTGATTATCTATCATTTTAAAAATATTTTTTAAAGAAAGTAGTAAATTAATAGAAAAAGTTCTGGCCACTTTTTGTAGCGATTGAATTGACAATTTCGTTAATTTGAATAAAACTTCTTTTCTTATTCATGTTCAAAGTTTAGAATATTATGTATCAATGTAGAATTTTTTAACACCTTTTTTTGTTTTTTACAGTCATCAGTGGGCGAATGTTTAAAACCACTGACCATCAGGGACCACGTGGAGTTTTCCAGGTTTTCTTAGCTAACACTTAAATAGGGATCAATTTTCCATGAAGAGTTCTGCCAGGGGGAATAACTGGCATGAAGACACCTCTTTGGCTGATCGCCCATGTATAGCGTTTTTAATCCAAATCAAACAAATCGCAATTTTCACTTAAATATTCTTTATAAACAAAAAGTATTTTTTATAATTTTATTAAATTTGTACAATTTCATCATTTCTGAATACAGCATTTTACAATTAAACTTTAAAAATACTATAAGTGTACAGTACATAATTTAAGAGATTATGAAGTTTTCATAAATTACAGCGTATCAGTGTTCAGTTATAGGCCTATATATTTATTTTTTAAAAGGTTAATAACTTTTTTATTACAGTGGGTGATCGGTTAACGAACATAATCCGTTCCAAGACTTTGTTCGCTATCCGAATTGTTCGTTAACCGATTATCAATTTACCATAGGTTTTAACGGGAATTTAATTAATTCGTTCTGGAGACCCCCAAAAATAAAAAATATATACTTTCTTACTATGTTTATTTATATGTAATAATAAAAATACATACATACACAGTCTTGCATTTTTATTAGACATGTTTTTTTTCCGTTTGAAAGGGTTAAAGAATCTGTCTAATGTCGATTGCTTTTCTCTCTTCTTCAGGATTTTTCGTAAGTAATTGCAATTGTAGAAATCCCATGCCTCAACCTGGTTTGGATGTCATTCTAAGACCGTTGTTCTGACATCCCCCCACTTCTTCAAAGGATCTTTAATAACAGATATCGGCATTAATCCTCTTTTTCAGAAGAAAACATATCTCACCGAGTTTCTTGGCGTTCTTCTGTCGTCAGATCCGTTTCAGGTTCCATTATGAACTTTTCGATATTCTTTATTTCTCAGATGTGATTTTTGTTACTCCTTTAGCTGCTTGAATCTTCTTGATTATCAGTATCTTTCTTAAATAAGATTGAACTGCGGCCTACTGTAAACCTGTTCACGCCATACTACCCAGCAACATTAGGCATCTTCTGCCCACTCTCTACCTTTGCTATTATACTCTCACCTTTCGTAAAGAAAAACAGAAAATCCTATTTGTTCGTTATCCGATTTGTTCGTTAACCGATCACCCACTGTATATATATATATATATTTAGCTTAAGAACGAATATAATATTCAACATTAACAATCAATTATCAAAATTTATTTATTCAAAACGTTTTAAGATTTAAAATATTATTATTGATATTTAAAAATAATCAGTTTCGGTACTCTTTAATATCCTTCAATAATTTCTATCGTTGAATCTTAACAAAAAATAAAAACTGAACCCAGAGAAACTAAAAAGAACTAAAATAATATTTTCCCTGGCATAAAAGTTATTGATTCCATCATATCTTCTGACTACGAACAAGTAGGGCACTTTTAGATAGTATACTATCTAACATATTAGGCTATAAATTATAGAAATAAATGGGCCTTACCATCTGTGCCATCTAAAAATATTTTGCAAAGGGAAAAAATGCATTTAGAAATGTTTGTTGTTTTCGTAAATTTTTCATCAGATTTTTTAAATTATAATTATTCCATCAGGAAAGTCATTGACAAGTGTAGCTCTATGTGTGAGTGACGTATCGTCCATGAAGATGTAATTTGCATCCATAGCACTTCGGAAAAGTCTCGCATGGAGTTCCGAATCTTCATCTTTGTACCTTCTTGCAGTCATGGATTCACAGTCAATAAACGTAGAACATTAAGCATAATGACACTCCAGTTCATTAATTAACACCATTTGCAAACTAGTCTCTTTTCACGACGATCTTAGCATTGTATCGGTTCTCCGTTTTCTCCAGATTCTACGAAAATCATTCTATAGTCTGTAAAGTACCTGAACTCATAAGAGAATAAAACATTGTTCTATTCATTCATAGTCCAATGTCGATGTTCTTGACACATTTAAACAGACTTTACTGTGTACAGGAGTCAATGAAACGCAACAGACTGGGCGTCTAGTAAAAAACAACCACTTGCCCGAAGCCTCTTTAAACAGTTTGTCGTGAAACTCTAACACCGGTTGCCGGTGACTGCAGATTCCACCAGACATTCTTCTCTTACGACGCGCTGTTAACGTCAAATAGCGTCCTGTTGAGGGATGGTATCTATTGAATGTTCACTTCCTTGTTAATATGAAACTGATTCTTTAAAATCTGGATATTTCAATACTAAATGTGCCGCAGAACGTCATATAACTTGGGCTATATTTCACATCTGGACATATCAATCTGCTACTGGCCTGCTTCTGACTTTCCACTAATTCTCCCTTTCAAAAAATCTTCTACGTGGCGCCATTCTAGCATTATCACTATCAGTATCACACAGTAAAACAATAAAAAGTTCAATGGTTAAACCGCAACAGAAATAATTTTACGCTGCAGATGTTTTTAGGGAGGCTGCATAAATTAGGGAAATTTTGCATAAATTTATGCTTATTAATAGAATATTCGACTATATCCTAAGTATTTTTATTTTTAGTATTTTCTGCTTAGTTTTCTCATTTGTGCTTTATCTGTGGATTAGACGGTTATGCTTATTTCATAGTATAGTGTTTGTGGATTTTTTTCACAAAGTGATAATATTTTGTTTCTCAATCATTTATAAAGAAATAGTATATTGACAAATTGAATACTTAATTAACGGAATGCTTAGCGAATATATTAAGTGAGAATCTTAATACAATCAATTCAATAATATCGGAAAAATAAATATTTATTTCTCACGTTTGACATTTTTGTCATAAAATGTTAAATTAATATTTAAAGACAGTTTGTTCAATTACAAATTATTCTAGCAAAACGAATATTCTTTCAACACATCATGAAATTCTGAAATTAAATTCTGAAGAAAATAACGAAAATTAAATTTTCAATTTATGAGAAGTTTTTGTAGTTTTGGAAGTGATGATATAGGCCAAATTCTAATTGTCAGTTAACAGGAGAAAAGTACATTTGAGAAAAGTTTCTGACACGACGTAATTTACTTTTGTTTATAATTATTTAACAAGAATTTATTTCCTTTCCGATAAATCTCGGACTATCGAAATCAATGCTTTGTTTATCAAAAACACGAAAATTGGGATTTGTATCAAAAATATATGTTGTAATTTTTATGTTATCTTGTGAAAGAAAAATACGTGATGTCATCATTATAGTATAATTAAAAGTATAAATTCAACCTGTAGTTTTTGAAATATTTAATTTGATGTAACAAATATCATATAATTAGTAGTTTAATATTAAAACAGGTCGACCTCTAAGAAGTTAAAAATAATAAAGGTAACATATTAATAGCGCAGAGACAAATAAAAATTTTAATAACGGATATATTTTGCTAAAACTTAAATATTGTAATTGGAGTTTTTCAAATACAAGATTTCTTTATTTATATTTAAAAAATTAAGCATAAAATTATTTTTATTTCAATGAAATCAACAGGATTTTGATAATTTATTTTATATGCGAAAGTAAGTTGTAAAATTTAAGATTATTTTCTTTTCCACAGGGTAAATTATTAGGAAAATAATAAATACAACATTCGAAATAATAGTAAAAAAAATAAGAAAATTATCAAAAATATAATCTTAGATTTAATATTTTCAAGACATTTTAAAACCGTGCAATTCGACCTATTGTAAATAGCGATAAATTATACGTTTTTCTGCTTAACTTGCATGAAAAGCAATAGAGCTGAAACTCTGATTTCGCAACTTTCTCTCATTGGCTACTCAAAAAGATAATCATTATCATAGAAAAGAATCTCTCTTTTTTGTTAACGATATTTAATGTTCAATAATTCTAGTAAGAGCGTTCATAGTTTAAATAACTAATTTACAATATAATGCTTTTTAACCGATAAAATAGTTCATATTCTGCATTAGCTTATTCTTATAATCTATTTGTGAAGATTGAAAATTGTTAAGAAAATAAATATTTAATACATCCTTTGTATTATTTTTAAATTGTTAAATTTTATTACTACAATAATTTCTTTCTCATATCAAATTTTCTCAGACAATAATCAAATTTTATTTATAAAATAAATACAATATTTTATATGAATATAATCGAAATTATTTAAGATATTTAAAAGAGACGTCATCAATTTATTTTACACAATTAATTTCTAGAAGTGAATTATTGGAATAATAGAATAATTAAGATATATAAAAAGTCATTATAATTAATTTTAAAACATTTTATGCACGAGAATTTATTATAGAGTTGAAAATCGTATATTTATTATCATGAAGATTAAATTTTTTAATCATTTTAAAGATAAAACCAAATAGATTCGATTAATTTTATAAATATAATCTTTTAAAAAGAAAACTGTATAAAAATAATTTTTATCATTTTAAAATTTCACTAGATACTAGATTCCAAAATAAATAAATTTATCTAATATTCCATTTGATCATTATGTAGATATCATTACATTTTATTGAAAACCTACATCGATTGTATTATATGAATCTGTATGTAGACATAAATAGTTCGCATTAAAATATACTGCTTGAAACCCTTTCACATAAAATACAGTTTATTGCTAGAGAAATCACGAACTACATTCGCACGTATTTTGAATTGCAGATAAATTTGTATTCATATCAGGAGAATTTGTGTAGGGTAGATGATTGATGTTAGTTTTAACAGATTTGTAATCAATTAAAGATTCTAAACTGTCATTGCGGATGGGGGATGACTCTCGATGTGTTTTTGGACTGGAAGAACATATAAATGAATAATCTTCATCATTTTGATCTGGATTCAGAGGCAGCTGGATAAATCCATCACTGTTCATTCGTGGATATTCACTGGCTTCACTGTCAGAAAAGTTATATGAATGTCCTATGTCGTCTTTATCCATTCGACATTTGCTTTTGTATAGAAGAAACACGGTAAATAATGTGATGATGCTTCCTAGGGTGGCAGCTATTCTTACACCAGTCATGGCATCGTACGTTTGGTAATATTCGTTTGCTAGACGCATTCTTTCTTCTCTCGTCAAATGTCTGGTTGTTGTTTCCGTGCTAGCATTTTCTGAATTCGAGCCATTTTCGTGAGTTACTCCATTACTACTGCTTATATTATACTCCATCATTAAAGACCATTGTTCGTTCCTGAAAATACAATTATTTTAAATAAGAGAGCGAAATTATTTTATTTAATAAAAGCATATATTACTTATTAAAAATAAATAAATATTTTAAAATATACTTCGTAATAAAGTTTTAAAACGTTATAATTTTAAATATTTTTCCTCAATATAACCTAATACTAATCTGACTAATCATTTATAATTAATTCTGTCAAAATGTAGACATTTTTTACTGAAAGTCCGTAAATGAGAATAATTATTTAAATGTTAAATTACTTTTTACTTATATCAGATATAAAATTTTAAATATTATTTTATGTCTTATTAATTTCAAAATAATGCGTATGATCAAATAGCCCAATTAAATAGTTCAATATTTACACTGAAAGAATAAATAAAATTACTTGGTAACAAACAAAAATTTTTAATGAAACTTTATTCAATATATAAAAACATTGAAATTAAATTTAAATATTATATTTATGAAAAATATATAGAAATGAGCAAAATGATATCGTTTAAACGAATAAAATACAGTAGAACCTCTATTATCCGGACCTCCATTATCCGGATTTTCGATTATCCGGATTGTTCAAAATAAACAAAAATTTTACGAATTTGCTGATTTGCACTGGAATGCATAACTTTTTTTGTTTCAACAACGTCTCACCCAGCACAGTGGTCGTAAACTCTTAAATATATTTTACGTAGTAATAAAAAACTTGATATACGTATTTATAAATAATTTATATTCAAATTACATCAATTCTTTGACCAAGGGCGGCGTAAGGCATGGACGACGTGGACTGCGAGGCATAGGCCACCGCCTATGCCTCGCGGTCCGAAGGGCCTCGCGCCTCGAAGGTTTATGCATTACTTAAAAGCCGCGAACGCGACGAAAAAATTTTACTCGTCATAAAACGATAAATAGTTTGTCAAATTTTTATTCATAAAAATGCAGTTTCAACTGCTTTTTATTTTATAAAATCCGTCTTCTTGCGCCACCAGAGGGCCTTTTAAACAATAGGTAGTCTGTTAGCGTTGGTCAGTAGTAGTCCAAATTCAATACGAACGTTTGTTTCTTGAAAATTTGATCACGATTTAAATACAGTATTTACTTTTAATATTACCGATATGTCATCGAAAAGAAAACGTGTTATATTATCATTAAAAGACAAATTAAAGTATTTGTTTCGATTATCCGGATTTTTCCTTATCCGGACTACCTTCATCCCCAATTAGTCCGGATAATCGAGGTTCTACTGTATAATACAATTTGTTATATATAAGATATCAAAAGTATTATTGAAAATTTTGAAAATGAAGCTTTTACTTGAACCTGAACAATGATCAGCAACCATATAGCTTCTGCACAAAACAAAATAAAATAACAATAAAATATCGTTTTTAATAACAAGAATAAAAATTTACAAATTTCGTACAAATTTATAAAAAAGTGTACACAAATTTACAAATATCCGTATATTTTTTCCATATAAAACGAATAATGCTGTTTTGTAATTTGCCATTTTATGCAACATCTCGATTTTATAAAATCCACAACCGTTTTCGTTTAATGTAAAACATACGAGAATATAATTTAAATAGTTAACTCTGAACAACGGCCACAGACGGAAACGTAACACATGACTGTTAATTTGAAAGTCATTTTGAATGCATTTTTGTTCAAAACAAAAATTTCCTTAGGAAAATGAGAGTTGCCCATTACTGGAGGTTCGACTATATTTGCATTTCATAAATCTACTTGTTTGAATTTGAAGTAATAAAATATGTGATATGTGAACAATGTAATTAAATTTAAACTGTTTCAATATTTTTATTTAAAAAAAAGGACGAATGTTTTAGACAAACTATAAATCCATAGAAATTTTTCAATGGTTAATTTATAGGCCTATAATTTGAAAAAAAGAAGATTCTATTGACACAGTTTTCGATAATAACATTATCAGTGTAACATATTTTGTTTAGAAATATTAATATTTTTTAGTATAAAATACTTTATGGAAATATTCTATATTAAAAAATTCTCGAAGAAAATCATATCAAAACTTTTTAAAGTTTTCATATTTAATAATTTCCAACAACATTTTACGAACCTTTAAAGCACCAATTAAAGAAGTTGAAAACTAGATTTTGTCTTGAAACATTTATTCATTATCTCAACAAACAAAAAGACTTGAAAATGTTTTAACTAAAAATTATGACATAAACATTAATTATTTATTTTATACAAAAATTATAAATTATTTTTACTGTTAAACAATAAAGCAAAATTTTTTCACAGTTTATACTAATTATTATATAGATATTTATTTATAAAATACTTCGCCGCTGAAATATATAATTTCAAAATTTAAAGTTAAATACATATATTTTAAGATAAATTACATAAATAAAGAGCAAATAAATATAGAAATTGATAAGTAAATCATTAAATAATTTACTTACATTCTTGTTATTTAAGTAAATTAGTTAATAAACGCTATTCTAACAATCCATCAGAATAAAAATATTACCTATCTAAAAAACATATTTTTAATTTGTAATATTAAGTAGTATGAAAGGAAATCAATTCTGAGAAAAACAGGCAATTATATTATGAATGACACCAACATTTATCTAACAAGATACGTATGTAATTTTTTTTTAAATTATCAAAATGTTTGAAAGTAATAATTGGAAAAAATGAAAGCTGACAGCTAAGAAACAGCGAGTCAGCACAGAAGGAAAGCTGTTGAAATGAAAGCTTCTTCCATCTGCCTGATTATTGATCGTTTTCCGAATATATCCTAGCAACAAGACAACATATTAGAAAGCATCAACAGGTGAAGGTAAAGTCAAATTGATATTTTATTCAATCAAGAGAACAATTTTGTATTAAATCAATTATGATTAGTGTTAAATAAAGAACAAAGCAGTATAATATATACATTAGGTACGGCCTTCTTAACTTTTACAATAATATAATATATACATTTGAATACATTAATGAAGTGTTTAACAAATCACAGAATCGAATCATTTCTGATTAAAAGCATAAATTTATAAAAATAAAAATAAAAATTTTCAAAATAAAACAAATGAACTGAAAATTAAAATATATTAATACGTGTATAAACATAACTAGGATTAATTGGCAGAAAACTTCCATAATAATAGAAAAGAGAAATAAAAAAATAAACTCAAAGTATAGCAATATGATATTTTAAAACAAAGTGAAAATAAATAAGTATTAATACAAGTCGACTCCCCTATAACACTGTTGATTTTTCTGTTTTATATCAATTCCATGTTGAACGAGTCACTTAGATTTTACAAATACGTGAGTCGTTCACAGCCCGGCACACGTATTTGTAAAATCTAAATGACTCGTACAGCATGGAATTCATATAAAACGGAAAAATCAACAGTGTTATAGGGGGTCGACTGTATAATACAAAATTTATGAAGATAATTATTTTACTGTAATTCTTAAATATCAATTTTAATGATCTTTAGATTCTTTAAAAAAAATTATATTGAAAATACTATATGTGATTTCAAAGAAAATGTAATGGAATAGGTGTTACTGATTTTATCAAAGAAATAATTTTATATAAAAATTTCAATTCCGAAAAATATTTTCGGTAATAACGTCATATTCAATTTTTGTGAAATTTTATCATAAAAATAAAAATAGTAATAGAAGTACTATATTCCAATTGTATCAGTTAATATAATATAGATTTCTAGATTGCATTTAAGACTTACTATTAAATCACAGAAAACGTCAAAGATGCAAATATTGCAAATATCTTGTAAAAGTAATTAAATTAAGTAATATAAGAGTTAAAAATAATTAAAATGTATGAAAAATGATACTCAGTCTTCTCTTTCTATTCAAATCTCAAATATGAATAGAATACTTTAAAAACAGTCAGCTATTTTTTACATTCACTTTAAAATTAGATTAAAAATACAACATAATTAACGAAGTACACGATTTAGCAATTAAGTTTCAGGACCGAATCATCAAAAGCATGTAAAAACCTCGATATTTGTAATAGCTGATTGCTCCTCTTCACAAACTCAACCATTTATTCTTTATTGTTCATACGTAATCGCGTCAAAGTTTTTATATTGTGCAAAAATTGTCTTGCTTGTAATAGTAGTAAATCGAAGATTATATTATTGAAATCCACTGCAACTATATAGTATAAACCATTTAAAATGAGGTAAAAGTAATAATATCATCATTTGATTATTATTTAAATTTTCAGTATTAATTTTTAATGACTATTATTCATGCTTAATATTGTGCAGATTAAAGCTATTGTGCAAACAATTGTATTTGTAAAGGAGGAACAGAAAATATATGTTAAATGTTCATTAATTTCATTCGCATGGCGTCCTCTTTACAGAGGGTTGCAGTTGATGGACATTTCTCCACTCTTCACGGTTGTAGGCTTTTCCCAAGCTTGAGCCAATCCATTTTTGATGTCCTGCTACGTTAACCTAGGTCTTCTCTTTCTCCGTCTGCCCTCCACCATTCCTTGAACTGCAATTTCCATTAGTTTTCTTGAGGATCTACTTATATGCCACCATATGCTGTTTTTCTTCTCTGGATGCTGACCATCAGGTTTCTTTCCATTTCAAATCTACTCATAACCTCCCCATTAGTTATTCTATCTATCCAACTAATTCGTTCCACTCTTCTAACATACCACATCTCAAAAAAAAAATTTATCCTATTAACTGCCTCTTGGTTTATTGTCTACGACTCGTATCCGTATGTAACCACAATCCAAACCATTGTTTTAAGTTTTTTTTTCAATTTTTTGCATACATTTCTATCTCTTAATACTGAGGATATTTGTGCGAAAGCAGCTTCGGCCTTTTTTATTCTGTTTTTAATTTCATAATTATACCTGTTAAATGTTATTGTTGGGAAAAGTGCAACTGAAATCTACTGTTGAAACAAGAGCACAGTAATGATGCGTCGTCAGGCCCATGTTTTTACTGATTTGACAGATTT